TTGCATAATCATTGCATCCTAACATTCATGTTTATGTATTTCTAGGGTTTGCATCTTCATTTTGATTCTTGTTGCTGAAGATTCAAAAAGATGGGCACTGGTAGGAAGGATACTGTCAGTTACAAGTTTCAGTCGCCAGAGTTTGGTTCGATTCGTAGTCTGCTTGCCAAGACCACTCAAAGTAATTTGGAGACATTCAAAGATGAATATGGGAAGGTCCTGGTATGCTGCACACAATTACAAAATATGAAAGGATAACTATTCACACGTTGTTACAATTCTATGATGCTTCGTTGAGGTGTTTCACATTCAGAGATTATCAGTTGGCTTCTACTTTGGAAGAGTTTTCTCTTATTTTGGATATTCTAGTCAAAGATCAGGTTCCCTTTCATGAATCTATGGAAGTTCCTACACCCGAAGCTATTACTGAGACTCTTTATTTGAGCACGTTTGTGGTGAAGGATAATCTAAAATCCAAGGGAGGTTTGTCTGGCTTTTTGTTAAGTTCCTTGGTGAGTGAAGCTCTGAAGCATGTTGAGGCTTGTAATTGGACTACTCTCAACTTCATCCTTGCTTTGTTCATCTATGGGACTGCTTTCTTCCCTAATGTAGCAGGTTTTATGGATATGAATGTCATCAAGATCTTTATGACGAGAAATCTCGTGTCGACTCTTCTTAGTGATTTGTATCATTTAGTGCATTCTCGGAGCTACAAGAAGAAATGGGGATTGGTTTTTTGTCGTATCCCTCTTCTCTATAAATGGTTCATGAGCCATCTACCGTGTGAGGGTGCTTTTGTAGACACTAGAGACTATTTGAAGTGGTCAGAGAGAGTGATGGGCCTCACTGCTAAAGACACCCATTGGTTTGACAAGAGGTTGTTGGGGGCTGATACGATATACTGTTGTGGTGAGTTTCCTAATGTGCCTCTCATGGGAATAAGGGGTGGGATCAAATACAATCCTTCCCTGGCTAAGAGACAATTGAGGTACGTGATGAGAGATCCTCCAATAGATGAAGAAGTGGAGGAATCCTTCTACTACAGCGGAACAAAGGATCTTGAAACACTCAGAAGAGTCGTGAGAGCTTGGGGCACTATTCAGAGAAGAGGGAAATCATCTTTAGGCAAGAGTAATTCTAGAGCCTACCCTTCTTATATGGAATGAGTGTAAAGCAGAGCTGAAATTCTTAGGTTGCTTTTTCACATAGAAGCATTTTTGTATCCTCTAGAGATCGAGCAGCCCACGACGGTGGAGATTGAGAGGTATAACGAGCTTTGGGCCAAAAAAGAAGAACTCTGTAAAGAGAATGAAGAATTGAAGATGGAGATCTCTCAGTTGGGTCATGCTCAGAATGAAGCAGCATATGTATCCAAAGTGAAGACAAAACTTCTAGTCAAGAAACAGAAAGAGCTGGAAGATGAAATCAAGAGCAGACAGAGAATAGGTCAAGATCTGAAAAAACGCCAACAACATCCTACAACAGAGAAAGAAAGATCTGGATAAAGCTCGCCTCGATATCTCAAAGTTCAACAGTCAATGGAACACCACAATGACGACCCACAGGATGAAAGAGGATGAACTCCACGACCAGATTGAAAATTTGAAGCTGCAACTCGAAGTAAAAGAGAGAGAGGTCAGAAGAGAGTCATCTCGCAGATGCAGAAGTGAAAAGAAGCTTAAGGAGACTTTTCCAGCCTTAGAAGAGCTCAAGGTTAAAGCTAAGGTGAATAAGCCTATGCTCAATACGCGTTTGGAGAAGATGCTTGGGAGGATCATTGCAGATATCTAGGGGGATCATGCACAGGAGAGATATTCTTTTTCAGAAGCTAATTCAGAGATCGAAGCATCCTGACACCAAGAAGTTAATCAAGGAGGTTCAAGCCTGGTGTAAGGAGCATAATGGATGGGAAGGTTTGTCCTTGGTGGATATTGATGATATGCTATAGTCGTCTTTATTCTGTTTATATTGATCATTGTCAGGCTTGTTGACTAGGGTCATTGACGCTGTGTATTTAATTTTATCTTTGCTGTATCGACAATGTATTGACTTGGCTTTCTTATTTAATCTATGAGCAACTTTACCACTATTATATCCATCTCTTATTTATTGTTGTTTAAACTCGAATCAAGGTGCATAACACCCTGGAAATATTCAAACATGGCATTTTCATTCGCATTATCATACTCATATGCATCACATATGTTATGGGCTGGCTTTTTTCATATCTATCTGGTTTTCTTCAGCAGGATAGTTGATCCTCGTATTCACATGTATCATACAAGAGGAAATCAAAAGTGAATTATGGATCAGGTGCAAACAGAGTTGTTGGAAGTGCAGACTCGCATGACTCTGTTCATGGAGTTGCTGCAGAACATGGCCCAAGGGCAAGAACAGTTGAGGAATTTGGTTCAACCTCTTATTGACGCTCCCAAAGTCGACGATAGTGGGGAGGTTCATCCAGGTAGTAATGTTGTTATCCCTTTGGGTGGAGGCGGTGCTGGTGTTGTCATTCCTCCGGGCAGAGCTGGCGCATGTGTTGTTATTACTCCGGGCGGAGGTGTTACTAGTGGAATTCCTGGTGGTATGGGTGGTGGAAGTGTTTGTGCTATCCATGGAGCTGGTGAAGCTAATAACCATCAGTGAGAGGAAGACAAACAGGAAGACGCGTTTTCTATGCGTGAACTGGATGCTGGTCTCCCATCTGAAGCTAATAAAAAGTTCAAGATGATTGAAGAAAGAATGCGTGCTTATGAGAATCAAAATTCTTTTGGTCTCTACATGACTGATCTCGGACTGGTCCCAGGTGTGAGGATCCCTCACAAGTTCAAGGTTTCAGACTTTGACAAATATAGGGGAATAACCTGCCCCAAAACTCACATCTGGGCTTACTATCAGAATATGTCTTCCTATTCTGAGGATGAGAAGCTGCTTATGCACTACTTTCAAGAAAGCCTAGCTGGGGCATTTTTGGAGTGGTATATGGGATTAAAGATAACCTATATCAGAATTTGGAAAGATCTTGCTGAAGCTTTTGTCAAGCCATATCAGTACAATAATGATATGACGCCCAATAGAACTCAATTGCAAAATATGGTTCAAAAAAGGAATGAAAGTTTCAAGGAATATGCCCGGAGATGGCGCGAGTTAGCGGCCAGAGGTCAACCTCCGATGATGGAGAGAGAACTTATTGATATGTTTATGGGTACATTTCAGGGGCCTTATTTTGAGAAGTTGGTTGGGTGCGCATCAGCAGGGTTTTCAGACTTAGTAATGGCTGGAGAGAGAGTGGAAAGTGGAGTCAGGGCTAGGAAGATTCAGAATAGTAATGGTTCATCATTGTTGAAAAGTATTTCGGGGGTATTTTATCGTATCCACAAGGATTATAAGTGATATCTCGATGCTAGCCGTTCAATAATTTATCGTTCTAAGTAAAGATTTTTCAAATAATTTCTTGTTTCGTAACATAAGTTTATAGCAAAGAGTAAATTAGAGCAAAGATGTTTTGTTTTGAGAAAAGCATGTCAAGATTAGGTTTCGTCAATCCTTTTCATATGTATCCGATTAATCAAGTATGTGAACTTAGTTTTGACTAATACAATCGTGTATCCTTGTGAATCCATTTATGTCTAAAGTGGCTCCATGAAAATTATTGTTTTAATCGCTATATGATTTCTCGAAATAACAATCGCAACAATAAACATAAAGATCGATACAAAGCGAATATTAACTTTCAAATCTATATCTAGAGTTTGTTGGTTAATAGATGAAGAAATTAGGTCAAGAGTTGTAAAATCTATGTCCAGAGTGATTGAAACCATAAATACATCATTAAAAGCAAATATCTTCATCATCTATTAATCATAAACCTTGTTCACATACAAGAGATCAAAAGAAGTACATAATAACAAGATTAACTACCTCTAATCTTGACAAAAAAGTGATTTAGCTACTCATAATCATGATAGCTTGTTTCACAAGTTTTGGGAGGAAATGAATGAGCATCCACGTCGAAGAATCGAACTTGGATGCAGATCCAACTTCTATGTGAAAAATCCCACTCTTTGGTGAAGAAAACTCAGAAAAATAGGTTTTTGTGTGTAAAATGAAGTTATGATCCCAAGAAATGGTCAAAAGTACTTATAAAGTATAACTAGAATCTGTCATGTTTACATTGCGAACAGATTATTCGCCTAGCGAACATATAATTAGGCACCTGATGTGCCTCTGCACAATTAAACCGCCCCTGAGACAACTCTGAAGTTTGTTGTGCGAAGGATGATTCGCCCTGTGAACTACTTCATCTATAAGTTCGCACAACGAATTTATACCCCTTTAGCTACTGCCTCAAATCTGGGATGCTTCGTTGGCTCTTCACCAGAGCGTTGCCACAATGAACCTTCGCTGGCTTGTTCGCACTACAAACTTAGGTGCCTTTTGCTACTGCCTCAAATTTGGGAGCATTCGCTGGTTCTTCGCCAATTATTTGTAAAGTGAATGTTAGCTACCAAGTTCTCCCAACGAACTTTCTGATCTTCTTCTTTTCCTTTGGCAACTTTGTTCACTTTCTTTGTGTCTCACACTTTGATGACTTAATGCAAATTATTTGCGCAATAGCATACAAATCAAAGGTACCAACGATATTTTTAAGTAATTGAATAATGGCAACTTTCAAGTATCAATATCAAAAAATCAACATAAAAGAGTTTGAAAAATTCCCAACATACATGATAACATTAAGACAAGATTGACATCTAACAAACACTCCCCAACTAACTCTTTGCTTGTCCTCAAGAAAAGTATGCCTCTTATTGAAAACAAGAGGATTTTCTCAAGCATTTAACTCAACCAAGAAGGGATTTATGGCTCAAATAAAAAACAAATGTATACAAGCAATGATTACAACCACCTAGAATTGAATAATGCAAAAGGACTTAGTTCTTAAACAAATATCAAATAATGTTTCAAGTAACAACTAAACTATCATGATAAAAGTTGTGATGGCCGGCGCGAAGAGGTCTCGGGGACGTCCAAAAGCTACGGTGTCTCCGGTGCCAACTCAACCCTCACCACATGTGGTTCAATCCATGGTGAATACAGAGAAACAAGATGAAGAAGGAGAATCAGAGAGAAACAAGAATGTAGGGGAGACTGAAGACGAAAATGTGAAGGGGGAAACCCTAAAAGAAGACCAAAATGGGAAACTGGAAAACCGAAAGTTATGGGTTGATGTAATCAGTGAGAATTGGAACCCGACAAAGGGGAGAAGTATGGAATATGTCACCCCTAAGGTCATGAAGGAGAAATAGAGATTGAAATTGATGACAATATGTAGCATCAGAACTACAATTTTGGGAAAATGCTCTAATTGTTCATGTTTTTGGTGAAGATCTCAGCATGAACAAGATGAAGAATTTTATGGAGAAAACATGGAATTTTGTCCATCTCCCATAGATTTATTATCATGATGAGGGGTACTTCATTCTTTGATTCAAGACTCATGATGATATGGAAGCTGTATTGATGAAGGGACCTTACACTATACGAAATGTGTCGATGATAATCATCGAATAGAGACCTAGTTTTAATCTCAAGAAATATCTATTGAGAACTCTTCCAATATGGGTTAAGTTACCTCAGCTCCCTCTGCACCTATGGGTAGAAAAAAGCCTTAATAAAATTGGAAGCGCCATAGGATCCCCTTTGGTCACAAATGAATGTATTACTCATAAGCTAAGAGTGTCATATGCAAGGATATTGCTGGAAGTTGATATCACACACAAGCTGCTTGATGAAATTACTATCACAGATAATGAAGGGAGGAATAGAAAACAACCTATTGAGTATGAATGAAGACCAAAGTTCTATGATAAATGTCAGGTAATTGGACATCAATGTGATATTGTTCAAAAATAGAAAGTTTGGAAGGTCAAGCAAAGTGGTATAGAAAAAGAGCATGTACCTAGAGCTACCACACCCAAAGAGAAGATTTGGGTGGAGATTACCACACCTATATTGCATCCAAAGATCAGAGCTGAGGAAGATGAGAGCAAATGGACAACTATCAATAAGACATCATGAGATAAAGGAAAAGGTATTCTGCATGCTGAATTATCTAATGGTGTTTCTTGTTTGAATGGATTTGAGGCTTTGAGGGATTTGAATGCCCCACAAGGTCCTTATGACAGGGGACCATGTTAGTCTCTTGGAATGTGAGGGGGCTTAACAAGGTTGGAAAGCTAAAGGAAATCAGCTCCCATCTCTTAAAGCTGCAGCCAACTATAGTTGTTATAATTGAAACAAGGGTGAAGGAGAACAAAGCTGCCAATGTTAGAAAGAAACTCTGCTAAAAAAGTAGATACCTTGATAACTATAACTATCATAGGAATGAGAGAATTTGGATAGCCTGGGATGATACAAAGGTGGATACTCTATACGAGGACAGTTCCAGTCAATACGTACATTATGGTATCTATGAGTTATCTTGTAAGTTCAAGTTCTTGTTGACAACTATATATGCTCATAACCAGCTTGATAAAAGGATAACTCTATGGAAGGATATGGAGAGGCTGCACAATAATCAACAAGGACCTTGGTGTACAATTGGGGATTTTAATATGTAGCCAAACGTCAGGACAAGATTGGTGGTAAGATTGTGACAGAAGCAGAGTATGTAGACTTGCAAACTATGATGAACAATACTGGTTTATGTGAGATGGATAGTTCTGAGGAGTTCTTTACATGGTCCAATAAGCAGGGCTGAGAATCCTATTTATTCTCGCATAGATAGAGTCTTGGCTAATGTGACTTGGTTCCAAGAGCATAGTGAGGCAATTCTGAACATCCCCTCACCTCATGTCGCAGACCATGTTGTCTTATATTTGTATGAACTTGGAGATGTGAGAAAAAGAAGATATTTAAATTCAATAATTGTTGGGTGGACATTATTGGTTTTTATGAGGTTATGGATAAGAACTGGTCTAAACCCGCTAGAGGCACACCTATGCAAAGGCTTTAGAATAAGTTGAAGAGGCTACAACTAGAATTGATGAAGTTGAATAAGCATACTACTGATATTCAGCAGAAAATAGTCACAACTAGGCAAAATCTTGATAAGGCATATGCAGACCTAAAAACCCACAGGATGAATGCTGCCAAGATTGATAGAGTGAAGCAGTTGACTGAGGAGATTATAAAATGGAATGAGATCGAGGATAGAATAATGATGCAAAAAACAAAATTTGATTAGCTTAATGGTGATAATGCTTTCTTCCATGCCTATTTGAAGGCTAGGCACAATTCCAAGAGCATGAGGGTGATACAAAGACTGAATGACACTATTTTAACTTCTCAAAAAGATATTTCTCAAGAGGTGACTGAGTTCTACATAAGCCTTATGGGTAAAAGCAGCAATGAGCTCAACCATGTAGATATTGAGGCTCTTAGAAGAGAAAACCAGCTCAATATAGAGCAAAAAGAAATTCTGGTGAGCCCTATCACTGTTATAGAAATGGAAGAGGCTTTGCAGGGCATAGGAGATTTGAAATCCCCAGGTGGCGATGGCTATGGTTCAAAAATTTTCAAAACTTATTGGCACATTATTAGGTTGGATGTTGTAGATGCAGTTATGGAATTTTTTGAGCAGGACAGACTTTATGCACCCTTCAACCAAACTGTTGTCACCTTGGTTCCTAAGACTGACGATGCAAAGTTTGTGAGAGATATAGGCCTATTGGAACGCGAACTTAGCATCGGTTATAAAAGACACTAATTAACCCATAGTCCACGAACTATAAACACTTTGACTTCTTCATTCTCGTCTGAATGAGGATACGTAGGCACAAGACGGCAAAGTCTTGGCGAGCACTAACTTCCCCTCATTCACCTGTAGTCTCTGAACTATGTTGACTCTGACTTTCCCATTGCACCAGGGAATACGTAGGCCTAGGATAGAGAAGTCCTATCGAGTCTCCTTTTGTTTTTCTCCCTTTTCATTTTTGTTTTCCCTTAATAAGTAGGCTTTAGATAACCACACCCTTTGATTAGAACAACAAGAGTGGATCCTGTTGAGTATAACGGACGCGAGGGGATACTAATACCTTCCTCTCGTGTAATTGACTCTCGAACCCAGGATTTAGTTGTGAGACCATGTCTTCTACCTTTTTAAGGTTTCTTCGATTTATTTCTTTCCCTGTCGGGATAAATAAGATTCGGTGGCGACTCTTCTATTTTTTTCACCGGTTGTTTTTTGCAGTTGTGACAAAACATGTTAAAGGATTTCCATAACTCAATTATCAATCAAAATATCTTTGTGGAGCATGCCAAGTAGGGAAAACTAGTAAGAATTATGTTAAAACTAAAAACATTGTCTCTATCTCGAGACTCTTAGATTTGCTTCACATTGATTTGTTTGGTCATGTTAGTATTGCATCAATCAATGAGAAAAAATATGGATAAGTCATTATTGATGTCTATGGCAGATGGACTTGGGTTAAATTCCTTAGAACCAAGGATGAATCATATGATGTATTCAACATCTTCTGCATATAAGTACAAAATGAGAAGGAGTAAAAAAAACTTTAAAAGTAAGAAGTGATCATCGTGGAGAATTTGAAAATGAGCCATTTGAAACTTTTTGTGAAAAATATAGAATTCTCCATGATTTCTCTTCTCCTATAACTCTATAAAAAAGGAGTTGTGGAGAGAAATAACAGATCTTTATAAGAAATAACGAGAACTATGGTCCATGAAAACAACTTATCTAACTACTTGTGGGCAGAAGTTGTAAACACAATATGTTGTGTTTAAAATAGGATCTATATTAGACCTATTATGAACAAGACTTCACATGAGCAGTTCAAAGGAACAAAGCCATGCATTTCTTATTTTCATGAGTTTGGATGTACATGTTACATCTTGAACAATAAAGTCTATCTTAATAAATTTGATGCCAAAGCTCAGAAGGATGTCTTTTTAGGATACTCTGAACGCTCAAAGGCAGACAGTGTGTGTAACTCTAAAACCAAAATGGTTGAAGAGTCAATACACATCAAATTTGATGACAAAAGAGTCTAGCAGTAAAATTTCAGATCTAGTTCAAAGCTTTTCAGAAATATGTGTATCTTAAGTAGCCTTAGGAGCTAGAGGTTCAGAAGCTGAAGTTTTAGAATCTAACAATCCATTAGAAGTTAGACGTTCAAAATCTATCAGAACTTCAGAAGTTAGTGGTCCATAATTTGATCCAACCTCAAAAGCTGATGAAATCACATTTTCAACTCGATACACATTCATTTTTATCATGTTTATATGTATTGTTATATTGGTATTTTGTCTTTGTTGCATATATTTTCCAAATAGGAGTTAACACATGAGAAAAAGGAGAAAAAATAGCCATAAGTAGAGAAAAATACACCTCAACATGAAGAAAAACAAAGGAGGGTGCATTAGTACTTGTGGCGTTTTCCACAAGAGCATGATGTTCTTCATGGTCCCTTTATCAGCCACGTACCCCACATTGCACTCATGGCGTCCGCCATAGGCTTCGTGACCTAAAATCCAACAACTAACTTACTGAGTCTTCTCCCACTTCCACATGATTCTCTCAATGTTCCTATGCGATTTCAACCCAATTTTAGAGCCATAAACACTATATATATACATCTATTGAGTTTTCAATCATGTTAGAGAAAATAGGAAGCATTCACTTTTGGAACGTTGCCAGAGCATTACATAATCCAAAAGGCATCCTTCGATACGCAAAGACTTCGAATGGGCATGTGAATGTTATTTTTTGCTGATCAACTGGATATATAAAAATTTGATTGTACCTTGAGTATACATCTAGAAAATAGTAATAGGCTTGTCTTGCTAGTCTTTCAAGCATTTGATCCATGAATGGCAAGGGAAAATGATCCTTACGTGTAACGAAGTTTAACCTGCAATAATCAATACATATTCTCCATCTCGTAACAATATGGGTTGAGATTAGTTAATTTTTTTCATTGTGTATAATGGTGGTACCTCCTTTTTTTTGGAACCACATGGACTGGGCTTACCTAAGAACTATTAGAAATAGGATAAATCATACATGTTTCAAGTAATTTAAGGACTTATTTTATTACAACTTCTTTTATTGTTGGATTTAATCACCACCGAGGTTGCACGACCGACTTGAATTCTTCCTCTAGCTTGATCTTACGCATGCAATATGTTGGACTAATCCCTTTCAAGTATGATACCTTCCATCATAATGCTTATTTATTTTCTTTTAGCACTCATAACAACTTTTCTTCTTTGGTCTTTCATAACGTGTTACTGATTATTGCTGGGTACTTATTTCCTTGACTTAAAAAAACATATTTTAAATTTTCAGAAAGCTCTTTTAATTCAATATTTGTTAGTTTCTTCTTGCTAGTGCCTCCTAATTCTTCGAATCTTTTATTAACATGCTCCAGTTGTGTTGCTTGAAATTGTAACACCAACTCATTTACCTCGACATTATCTTTGTCTTCGCCTATTTTTTTAATATATTATACTAATGCTTTCTCAATTGGAGAGGAAGGAACCTCTCCTTTCGAGATATTGTTTATTAATTCATCTATTAAATCAATTTTGTTACATTGCAAATCTTCATGAGTGTGTTTCATGGATTCCAACACATTAAATACTGCATGCTCTTTATTAAACCTGAGAATTAATTATTCTCTTTCTACATCAATCAAAGCTCTTCCCGTAGCAAGGAAGGATCTACCGAACAATAATGATGTTTCGGTATCTTCAGGAATATCCAATATGACAAAATCAACAGGAAAAAGCAAATCATCAACCTTTACCAACACATTTTCTAGTACTCCATAAGGGTACATGACTAATCTTTTGGCCATAGTCAAAGTAATTTTTGTATGTTTTGGATTTCCAAAATTTAATTTCTTCATCATCAACAATGGCATCAAGTTGATGCTCTCCCCTAAGTTACGTAGTGCCTGACCAATTTTTAATGAACCTATAGAGCAAGAAATAGAAAATCTACCTGGATCTGTTAGTTTGGTAGCAGTTTCCGTTGAATGATTGCGTGACATTCTTCAACTAAAACATCATTTTCATCATTCTTAAATTTGCATTTACCATTTAGAATCTCATTCATGAATTTGGCATACACATACATTTGTTCCAGAGCATCATAAAATAGAAAATTCACTTGTAAAGCTGTGAGCATCTCCATGAACTTTTTATGGTGCCTCGCTTCCATTTCTCTCTTTGCTTTCTTCTTAATGAAATAGTAAGGTGGTTTTATGTAATATGGTAAGTCGGGGTTGGTTCATTAATGATTTGTTTTTTGGTTCTCCTAAAAGGTGAGTCTTTATAAATGAATTTGTCTAGTATCTCTCCCCTCACAATGGCTTCACTCAAAACTTCCTCCTCTGTAGGTTTGGTTTTTGTTTCCTCATCCTTCTCACTGCTTTATTCCATAATTCTTTTCTGCTTGTTCACGTTGGGAACTGAGGGAAATGTGTGATTTCTCAATTTTATTGCATCACAATCTCATCTTTCCTTTGCTCTTGATGTGATTTACTGAGATAGAATCGAAAATTTTCCTTCCAGTATTTTTATTGACTCCTTGTGCTTTTCGTTCAACAAGTTCCATAATTTATTAACCTGCAAGAATTCATTTTGTGTTACCAGCATAAATTTAGTCAGTGTATCTTCCAATGAGGAGATTTTGAATTCCGCTTCCATTTATGGTGATCCCTGATTGGGATTTATGGTTATAGCTTTTACCTCTCCTATAAGTTGTTCTTTAACACAATTATCTACAAAATGTTCTCCACCACAATTAGCACAAAGTAAGGATACTACCTCATTCGAAGATCTTTGTAACCTTCTAATGTAAACTAACTATGAGATCTACTTTTTGTTTCTACATTTTTAACATCTCTTTTATTTGCAAAATTGTATTCGCTTAGGCTCATTTTCTCTATCAGCTCTTTTACATGTGGTTCAGTGTTCTGATTGTACATCCGGCTGATGCATCTAAAAGAATTTGTACTTGAGTTTGTAAACCTTTAACAAAACTATACACTTGTTTCATGTTGCTCATATTGTGATTAGGATATCTGCATAACAATAATTTAAACCTCTCCTAAGAATCATAGAGAGATTTAGTTTCTTGCTGCTTGAAGTGTGTAATTTCAACATTTCTCTCTGTGAATTATGTTGTAATGAAGAATCTTTCCAAAAATTTGTCTTCCAATTCTTCCCAAGCTCTTATTACTCCGTTTAGAAGACACAATAGCTAATCCTTAGCTCTCCCCACCAACGAGAAGCCAAATAGTTTCAGTTTGACTTGATCCTCTATAATACCTTCTGGTTGACACATCGATGTTGTCTTATAGAATCGCGCTATATGTTCCCATGAGTCACATGTTATGTTCCCATCAAATTTTTCTTCTCTAATATCTGGAAGCACATACTATTTGATGTTAAAATTTACTGGGTTTGTTGGGACGAAACCCAGAGAAACCTGTGTTACATTGGTAGGTCTGCAATAGTCCCCCAAAGTTTCTGTTGTTGGTTCTGCCATGGTGGAATTCTATATGCCTTAAACCTGAAACATACACCAACATAAAGCAAATACCCACAATAGCGTCGCTTGAAAATAATATGAAATACAAAAAAAAATTAAAACTAATGTAGAATTAAAATAAAAAGAATTAAAATGTTACACAAGCGTTGCCTTGTTGAAATTATCAACAGTACAGACAATGGCGCCAA